GAGAGAGAGAGAGAGAGAGAGAGAGAGAGAGAGAGAGAGAGAGAGAGAGAGAGAGAGAGAGATGATACAAGGGCAGAGAGAGTAAGGCTGAGTGTTACAAGCACTGAGAGAGAGAGAGGAGAGAGGGAGACAAAGAGTCAGGTACTTAACGTGTGGTAGCTGGGGTTGAGCACGGCCATAGCTGCTGGTTACCTTTTTTTTTTTTTTGGGGACAAATGCTCCAGTCTATTTGTGGGGAGCAACACATGCTGGGAATCGGGCCCAGCTTCCCATGTAGAATTATACAAGTTAGTTGAAATACCAGGGCCATTACCTGGCTTCGGCTAAGAACAATCTGAGGACTATTAAAGGAGTTCAGGAAAATTTTGGAAAAACATGGATAACTGCTGACCGATTGCTAGGCTACTCAAGCCTACTGAAGCCTAGCATGGAAAAACATGGATAACTGCTGACCATGGAAAAACATATAACTGGAGTGTATACGAAGGCGACCGGATTCAGATCGAGGAAGCAAGACCTCGAAGCTATCGGGGAAGATGTCGGGTAATGAGCAGCGAGAGGGTGGTGCACCGAGTGGAGGTGACGGAGAACGTAGGCTGTACCGAACACCAACATGCTTTGCTTGCAACGAAAAGGGACATTATGCGAATCAATGTCCGAATCGGAGCATGCGGAATGGAAGTTCTTCTAGACCGTCCACGTTGACAGACTCGAGGAGATCGAGATCGCCAAGGCGGTATGACGCCCGTAGACGCTATATGTCCCCACGAAGGCACTCGGACATGCATTCACAGATCAAGGAGCTGAGCAAGAGCCTCACAGTCATGAAAGAGCACTATGTAAGGGAACAGGAGAAGAAGGAGGCAAAAGCCAGGAAGAAAAAAGAGATGGAGGAAGCCAAGAGGGCCGAGGAAGAGGAGAGGGTGAGACAAGAGAGGAAGAAAGCGAAGGAGGAGGCAAAACAGAAAGAAGCCGAGCGAGTGGCTGAGATGAGGAAGGACCTCAATATTCATATGGCTACCAAGCTACGTGAGATGGAGGATAACTTTGTGGAGAGGGTCAAGCAAGCCAGTGGGCCTCTACAGGCGAAAGACAAAGGCAAGAAGAGAGTCACTTATCAATCGGAAGACGACTATACTTCCGACCACTCCAGCAGAGGCAGTGAGACGAGTATTACACAGGAGATAAGTGGACGAACGAAGAAACTGAGATTGTCGGAGAAGTGCAAACGAGGGAATGACCCCTGCGTTGAGGAAAACCCGCTATTGGAGCACTCGCCGAAAAGGACACCGAAGCGCGGCATCTTGAAGCCCGTACAACTGACTTCTCGCCTGACAAGATCCAAGGCCAGCAAGAAAGGATTTCAGTCGCCAATTGCCAGGAGGAGGACACCCGTCAAGACGCCACTGTCCGGCAGGAAGAAATCAGGGATCCAGAAAGTGACCCCAGGGTCGAAGATGCAATCGACACCAGCAATGAAGGGTGCATTAGCACGTATGGGTTACAGAGACGCCATGCTGAACGAGCTCAAGGACCTGGACGCCATGAAGTTGCAGAAGATCTGCAACGACGAAGGGATACACTACGACAAGAAGATCGAAGCGATCTTCAAAATCGCCGAGCATCGTACGCACCAAGCATTCGGGAATGAGGAAGTTGACGAAGAGGCTATCATCAAGATAGCCGACTCGGAAAATTCCGGAAAACCGGCCGACGAAACCGAGGAAGGTTTGGAGTGAAGTTGCCTAAGTGTTTCGCACTTATGGAGTTTATGCAGGTATTTGACCAAGGTTCGTAATGACTCATTATGCACCGATAGACGTATTGAGGATTTGCTACATCTCGTAGTTATACTTCTAACTTTGTATGATGAGATTAGATGGGCTCGAAAGTACGTGAACAGGTGGTTGGATCTCTTTGATAAGCATGGTCTGGAGTTTGTTGATTTATCGAACTGTGTATACATGGCTATATCTCCCTATTGTAAATCTTTTTGCGTATGGAAGACTACATGCGACGTAGCTACGAGATGGAAGGAACATATCTACGCGTGTCGCAAACGTACACAATCGCACTTCCACAGATGGATTAGTACTTTTGGGATTGGTAATTATTTACTAATTCCAGTAGACGTACTAAGTGGAGAGGGTTTGGGTAAGTTGGAGGAGGTGTACATTCATCAGTGGTTCCCATTCCTGAACACTGTAGGGAATAGGAGTGACCGAAAGAAGGGAAAGAAAGGAAAACCAGGAAGGAAGGAGAGGGAGAGGGTCTCTAAACAAGTCACAAATAGAACCAGACCTTTTACTAGTACACCAATCCGTTTCTTCGACCTGAAGACTAGTACACCGGGAATTGATCTATATAAGTTGTTAAGCGATGAGTTGGGACAGGGTAATAGGAAGTTCAACTTTCGATCACAAGGAGGAAATGTTTGGTACCTGAGCTGGAAGAGGATAGTCAAAGCTTTTGGCATGACTAAGGTTAACCACGAAAGACGAAATTTGTTGCTCCGTGATTCGAAGCAGTTGATTGAGGAGGGTGAAATTTTTGAGGTCCTACATATCTATAAATGGAAACCACGATGTCATTTTTTAAAGAGTCTTCTGATCGGTATTTTGAGGAATCCATGATTGGATTCGATCTCCAGATGGAGTATGAGAAGTGTGATACGCTTATACGATGCGATTAAGGGCTTCAGTCGTAAATCAACCAGAAAATACCTATGTAGCTTTGTCTCACATGTATTTCGTGATCGTTTCAATCTCAGTCTTAGTGCTCATTTGATTTTCCGAATTAAATACGATAATCGTATTTGACTTTCAAAAGTAAGGAAGGTGGTCAATTATTCCATTATGGATTGCAATTTACCTCTCTGCTTTCTCCACCGGGCTACGAAAAAAGTCCGAACTGTATGGGTCAAGAACCCATCGGTGTCAGAGTTATTGCACAATCAGCGAAGCCTTCTGATCGGTATTTTGAGGAATCCACGCAAATTGGATTTGATCTACAGATGGAGTATGAGAAGTGTGATACGTTTATACGGTGCGATTAAGGACTTCAGTCGTAAATCAACCAGAAAATACCTACGTAGATTTGTCTCATGTGTATTTTGTGATCGTTTCAATCTCAGTCTCGGTGCTAATTTGATTTTCCGAATTAAATACGATGATCGTATTCGACTTTCAAAAGTAAGGAAGGTGGTCAATGATTCCATTATGGATTGCGATTTACCTCTCTGCTTTCTCCACCGGCCTAGGAAAAAAGTCCGAACTGTATGGGTCAAGAACCCATCGGTGTAAGAGCTATTGCACAATTAGTGAAGCTATGCAGCTCGCTAAGTGCTCACTTGCACCTGTGCAGACATGTCATTCCTGAGAAAGGATGGACATGCCAGATTCCGCCTGAGTGAGATGGAGGGGGTTCATCCTCTGTTGCTTAATGCTAAGAATGTGCCTAAGGTCGAATCTGTCGACCGCCTTACCATGCTCCGCGATGAGTTGACGTGCGGTTTTGAACAGTGGTATAACCTGAAAGGGCAAGTACCCCGTATCACTATTGAATCCCTACGGGACAGTATCATCGTAGATACCGGTGGTAGAGGTTACCTGTCTTATGAGCACATGTTGAAGTTAAGGGCCAAGCTTGAAGGCCTAGTAGTTACCTCGCTGGACCGGAACCCAGGTGAATCTGTCGTGATGTGCCCTTTTGTATATTTTGAAGCCATGATGGAGACATTTGTTACTACTCCGGGATATCGGATAGTGACTGAGTCTGAGGACACGATTCTCCGGGAAGTGCTAGAGGATGCCCCAACGGTAGGATTAAAGCAGTTTGTACGTTGGAATAAGGAAGGTAAGATTGGATCTTCCTATGACCTTCCTAAAAAGAAAGATTTAGACAAATACATACCTATCTGTCCTACTTTCAGTGAGCCCATGGTTAAGACAGGCCGGATTGCGGCCAAGGGGCTTAATCACCTTTTGTATACGATCCCGAAGCACTGGCATTTCAACTTGAAGGCAGTATCCGACCTAGCTACAGTCTTAACGTCAGCCAATAAAAAACTACTTAGACTAGGAGACGATCACACTATCAACTCTTTTTCATTTGATATCAAAGAGATGTTTAGCAAATTAGCCCATCCGAAAATCAGCAGAGCACTGGATTGGCTGATGTCGTTTCATCAGAGCAAGGGTCGCACCTTTGTCCATGTCAACTAGAGAGGGAAGGGAGCTACATCCGGCCTCACCACAGGAGGCGAACATTGGAGGAAACTGAGCCTGCAGGACATTGTCAAGTTTATCAATCTGGAACTGATGCACACGTACACATTTGCCACGGGAGTCCTATCGAAACAGGAACTGGGCATCCCCATGGGGAAGAGCACCAGCCCGGCGCTCGCTTGTATAATGTGTGCTTTTGCAGAATACCGCTTCATGCGCAGCCTTGGAGCGAAAGCGAGGTATGTCTTTGGCACAAGATTGATTGATGATGTGATGCTGGTGATATCAAACAGAGACAGGGAGATTACCAAACAGATCATGGAAAAATTTAAAGTGTGCTACCCTCGCAACCTGCAGTTGAAGAGGACTGATGATGGAACAGGTGCATTTGAATTTTTGGGATGTCATATCAGAACATCACAGAACTTTCCATACATGGGATGCATTCAGATGTTCAAAAACGAAGACATCATCTGGAAGGAGCGTAAGATTACTATACAGACTGTACAATTGTTTCCATCCAGGGGTTGCAAGAGGCAGAAAAACCCTATAATAACATGTTACTTGCACCGCATTGACCGGAACACATCTATTCGGTTCGAGATCCTAGGGAGAGTCCTCATGGCACAACAGGAGCTGTTATTAAAAGGGTTCCCTGATTAGCTCTTTTGGAGAGTTCTGAAGCACTTTGCCTTCAGAAAAGATCCCGTATGGAAATTGGTCGTGACTATGTTTGACTAGCTTAGACTTGTCATTTTCACGAACTTTTATTTTGATATCTTGCTTTATTTTTGGCTATGTGACTCTTTTGATGATTTGAGCTCAATTCTAAATCTGTTCGTAGGAATTTGGACAGGGTCTGATTCAAAGCAGAACTCAAACCAGGGTCCTTTGGGAATATGTGTTTTCGGACAATTATGCTCGATTCTTGATTTGTCTTTCTTGGAAATTTGGACAGGGTCAGATCCGACGCAGGACTCGAGACAGGGTCCTTTGGGAAACTGTGTTTTTGAAGGTTTTTAGAACGGGTACTGTGATATGTAGGACTCAAACCAGTGTCTCTCCGGATTTTGAGCCATGAGGAACCAATTTCGATTCAAGATGCTACGATGGTCGGAACTTCTGTTTTCCATGGTTCCGCAGACGGACAAACTCAACTGGAAGTTAGCAATGGTGTGTGTTTCAGTCCGTTCCATTTAGACTAGGAGACTGTTCATCAGATACTATATTAGGAGTATGTAAGATTGTTTCGACCTCTTACAGGTCTGCGTGGAATATGCTACAGCATGAGCCAACGCAGAAGGACGAGGCACCGGTTTGGAGGTTCTTGGGTGTGTGGAATGAAAGGGTTGAACCTGTTTGTTTTCGTTCACTTGTACATCTTCTCATCGTCAATCAAGTGATTATCTTCTTTGACTTTACTTGTTTATGACCTATGATTTTCCCTAATACTCAAGCAGCAATTACAAATCAGAAAGGAAAGCCACAAAAGTCCTTCGAATGCTCAGAACCCCTGAATCCTTAACAACATACTCTAAAATTCTCTTATACTGTCTTATTCCCTGCCGAGCTCAAGCAACAATTACAAGTCAAAAAGGAAAGTCACAGAAGTCCTTCGAATGCTCAGAACCCTTGGAATCCCTAACAAAATACTCTTAAATTCTCTTGTACTATCTTATTCCCTGTCGAGCTCTCCCAGGCCTCATGCCCCCGCCCTGTTAGGTTACAGGGCAATGCGACTCACCCCAGCTCCGGCCAACGTCATCCCAACAGCAAACCTTGGTTTTCCCATGTAATGCCCACCCCAAGGCATCCCTAGATCTCTCTACCAGGCCTCAGGCTCCTGCTATCAACAGGTTACAGGGCAACCCCCCAGCACCAGCCAGCGTCATTCTGGCATCGAAAAACCGCAGATCCGTGAATATAGCAGCATCAAAGAAGCCTAAAATGAGTTGCAAGAAGTACCCTGAATCCTTTTTTTTTTTTTTTTTTTTCGAAAACAGCCCTCGCGGCGGATGCTAGGGGTGCTGGTAAGAGAAGCAACCGCTAGAATTTCGGGGGGAGGCTCCATCTATTGGTGGGGAGCAGCACCTGCTGGAAAGCGGGTCCAGCGTCCCTGAACATTATAATTGTTTGTTTGATGAATCAGACATACCATTGTGATGACAGTGAGACACAGGGCTCACCTACAAAGTACAGAAATAGGGAAGTAGAGCTACCAAATTACCTAAGCTGCTTGCATACCTGACGGCCTATAGTAAGCCTAAATTAAGTGGTAATGTACACAATTCATATCTTTGCTATTGAGAGTTGGCAACCTTTCCTATTCCTATATTGGAGTCTTGTATTCCTATTTGGTCTTAAGTTCTGCATTTTTTTACCTGGCCAGGGCTTTTTTTTTTACAAGCAGACTTTGCCTTCCTGGAATCTTAAAGTGGAGTCTTCCAGGGGCTAAGGATAGGAC